TTGTGGGAAAATTCTACTACCAGTCCTTCATCACCTTACACGAAATAGGGTGAATACATCTCATCAAACATATTTTTGTTATATAATTGTGGAAAAATTCTACTAGTCGAACCGTGATAGTGCAGCAATGTGGCTGAGTGGTTAACGTGCCAAGCTCCCGCTAGGGGTGTTGATAAGTCCTATGCGAGGTCGAAACTGCAGTCCACCGGTGTCTGGATGAGAACAACTTTTGGGAAAGCAAGGCTCTATGAATATTAATGGAAACGTCGGCACTACTCATATCATTGTGGGAAAAATCAACTACCAGTCTTTATTACCTTAAACGAAATAGGGTGAAAACAACTCATATATCTGATTTACTGGTAGTCTTGAAACTCTACTTATATACGAAAAGAAGTAGTGTAATAGGACATAATAGTTCTTTAAGCCCTTCCTTACCTCCAAACCGATCACTCCACATACTCCGTAAAGTATTTTGTCAGAGTACGAGATCAAGGTATTATTCATCGCATTCCAACAGCCTCTGTTGATATTGCTGTTTAAATCATCGAAGGTCATGGGACATGTATCGAAGACAGGCATGAAGTTCGAACTCAGCTTACAGCATGGTATTGGTGCAAGCAGTTCTGTTGGGAGGCGAGAAAAAGGTGTCAATGAAAAGGAGATTAAGGCATGTTAACATAAATTAACTAAGATGTACACGTCATGAGACAGTTATGAAAATATTACCTCACTATCTACCGCAAATGATTGATAAGCATTTCTTTCGTGTACTACGGCATAGAGAGGCGATGAAACGGTAAGAATATAAGCATGACTGAATTAATTTAGAATTACTTCAGTGGGCTGACCTCGTTTTTGCAACTTTTCCGTATTGCAATAGGGAGTTATTTGGGATAACCTTATCTGAAGTCGTCTACTATAGTAGTCATCATAGTACCCAGCGTCGGACGGTGGACTTGGTACATTCCCAGACGTTTGGCTGGCATCCTCAGTGAGTCTTGCCAGTCTCAGCACCACGCTACAACTCATCAAAGAGACAAATGAGGTTAATCCTTCAACGAACTTTCTGCCGAAACGGAAGTCAAGGGCTTGACTTCACTTGTCTCTTTGACGAGTTGTAGCTTGGTCCTGAGAATAGCAAGACTCACTGGCGATGCCAACTATGATGCAGACGAAGTTTCTGTGAACGTACCAAGTCCACGATTAGAGGCTGAGAATGATTATAATTATTATAGCAGAGGCTTTCGAACAAGGTGTGTCCAACTAAGTCGCCCTGACAACAAGGCGAAGTTGCGAAAATGAGATCAGCTCGTTTCTATACATCTAAAGCAGACTGCGGCCACACCATCTTGGCCTTCATATTTTAGAAGTATGGTTTATCTTTGGTAGGCTTGGCCAATTTGTCTCTAAGGCTGGAGAATATTAAAATCGGAAGATACCGACGTCCAGCCAGAGACGGAGTGGACTTTGGAGGGCACAAATTCGACCATGGTTGTCGAATGCACTAAAATAGGTACAGCGATGATCAAATAAAGTCCTCAGCAATGGAATCAAAGCCTTCAGGCATAATATTGCTTAAAGAAAATATATTCATAATATTGTAAGCGATAAACCACGAAAATATTATTCAGGTAATTAAAGATGGGAAGTTTAATACAGGGGAAGTTGTTTTCACAACTTGGTCATATTGGTAGGAAGACTTAGAGGAATGCACCTTGTCCGGAGTCCATTGTATGCATGATCATTTCCAAAGTCGGACTGTGGACGTGGTACATTCCCAGAAGTTTCGCCGGCATCGTAGTCGGCATCGTAGTCGGCATCGTCAATGAGTTTTACCAATCGTAGCACCATATTACAACTCGTAAAAGCGACAAGTGAAGCCGATACTTTGACCAAACGTGTGCTAAGTAGTAGTGGTATCTCCTCTTCTGCCCTGGCCTATTCACAGTTCCTATATCCTCCAATCACGCCTTCACTGTCGTAATTTTTTACTTGCTTTATTAAATGTGCCACAGTGTGCCCTTTTGAGTGGCTTCCATGAGAACCGTCCACACTCTACGCTGGCTTTCTTACCCCCCTTCCTGCTCGTCCTGGGACAGTTGATCAGATTCTACCACAGTCTCTCTCTTGCCCCGTAGAATCTGAAATCTCTCTGGTTTAACTATTTCTCTCTATCTGCCACTCGAGGTGTTATTACCCCTCCTCTGCTGCTGGGTGACTAATTCGTGGCTCAAGCCTCTGAGTAAGTCTCATGGTCAGGCCTTTGCCACATGGGCCACGTGTCTTATAAAACCTACTGTCAGTCCACTAGCTCCCATTGCCGCCTCGTCTATCCTGTTTCTGTGTCTAATACCAAGTCTATGACTTCCCATTCCCTAGTCTCTTGTGTTCCAACCCATAAATGTTGTGGTACCGCTTGCTTTGGTTAGGTTCAATGTTGAGCCACAACGCTTGTGGGTTAGCACACAAGAGACTAGGGCATGGGAAGTCATAGACTCGGTATTCGAGATAGAAACAGGATAGACAAGACGGCGATAGGAGCTAGTTGGCTGACGGTAGGTTGTACAAGAGACGTGATCCATGTGGCAAAGGCCTAACCATGAGACTTACTCTGAGGCTTAAGCCTCGAATTAGAGACCCAGCAGCAGAGGGGTAATAACTCCTCGAGTGGCAGATAGAGAGAGATAATTGAACCAGAGAGATCGCAGATGGATTCTACGGGGCAAGAGAGAGACTCCGGTAAGACCTAGGGAAGGAGAACCGCTTAACAGTATAGCAGACTGTGATCAAAATTCCCAGCACAAGGATGAATGTGGGTAGGAAGGTTAGTGTGGAGTGCGAAGGGTTCTCATGGAAGCCGCTCAAAAGGGCACGCTATACCACATTCAAGTAGGCAAGTAAAAAATGGTGACAGTGAAGGCGTAATGGAGGATATAGGAAATGTGAATAGGCCAGGGCAGAAGGGGTGATACCACAATTGTTTAGCACACGTTTGGTCAAAGGATCGGCTTCATTTGTCTCTTTCACGAGTTGTTGTATGGTGCTAACAATGGCGATACTCACTGACGATGCCGGCGAAACGTCTGGGAATGTACCACGTCCACGGTCCGACTATGGAAATGATTATGAATACAATGGGCTCCGGACAAGGTGCGTTCCTCTAAGCCTTCCTACCAATATGACCAAGTTGCGAAAACAAGGTCAAACAACTTCTATACAACGAAAGGAGACTGTGACCACACAAATGGCCACACCATCTTGGTCTTCATACCTTCGATTAATACAGGAGAACTTACGCATTGATTGGCCTTGAAATGTAATGTTACGTTGGAAATTAGGAGCATAATCGAAATCTCTATAATTGTAGATTCCGCAGCAA